CGTTACGCTACTATTAACGAGATCTTCGATTCTCATTTAGGTTGTGTCGCCTAAAAACCGCTCGATCTAATATTCGAACTTCGTGTTGTATATTGCTAAGACGAAACTTTGAAAAATCATAACCATACGAAGTCAGATTTGGGCGTTTTTTTTATGAATGCTCTCAGCTTAAAATATTCTACGACTTTCGTTTATATCGCTAAGGCTAAAAGTCGCTCTATCATAAATTCACTATTTATGTTTCCCGGTGACGTGCCGGTTCCGTCGCGAAACTTCGACGGATCATAACTTCTTCGTTATAACTCGAATTTTGGCGTTCTTTATATGTACAGAACCCTTGAGACATATTATAAAACTTGGTTAAGATTATTTTTTCTAAACAATCTTTTGTCGAAGAGTCGTTTTCAACCTCTATTATCTCTAAATTGACTAGCCCGGATCTACGGGCGTTACATTGGTGCCTTCAACCCGTAAGTACAGTGAGGAAAACTCACATCAACAACTGAACCCATGAATAGATCTCTGACCGCAGGTCCTATCAAATCCTCTTGCTATCAAACACCAAAATGACAATTCGTTAATAACTAGCTCCTGACTCACACCATGAGCCCAAATTAAGGTAAAAGACCTTTTATCCTTCCTCAAACTTGGCCTAAGGCCAGGGCCTAAATTAAATGACCAAAAGCCCAAAATCCAACTAAGCTTCTAAGGCCCAAATATGGCCTATTTTTCGAAATTGGGCCAAATTCCTTTAATGGCCTTCCCCCAAGAAAATCCAACAAGTTACCAAAACCCCAACTATAAAAATCCAGATGGCCCAAGACAACCAAGCCCAAAACCGAAGCCCAAAACGAATAAGCCCAAGACTGCTGAGTACGTGGGGCGTACTCAACTTGTACGCTCAATGTACAACATGAAAAGGATTATGCGCGCAACATACATACTTGCATGCCCAACGTATTCACCAACCATGGCCAACTTTCCAAATTAGCACTTAATCTATTAAGACTTTGATCCAAACTCAGATCTGACTTCTCCAAGGTGGTTAATCACATAAAGTTGCCAACTTTATGTTCATGCATGGCTAAATGGAACTCTCGAGCTCAAAGGATCTTAATAATTGATTTAATACATGCATGGAACCAAAACCACCATAAAGTTTGCACCTTTATGACAAAGGAACCCATAAAATATCTAGATCTTCAAAGGCAAGTTCCCAAAACGACCTTAACTCCTAATCACCAACCAAAAGGACCAAAAATAAGCTAAGAAGAAGATCCATGAAATAAAATGGAAAGGTTTAAAATTTATACCTCCCAAGCCACCAAAAGGAGATGCTAATACTAGATCTCAAAGCCTTCCTCCAAATAACAAGTCTTCAAGCTTCTTCTTCTTCTAGATCCACAAAACCCCATAAGGGCTCAAGATCACCAAACATGGGCTAAGGGACGAATTAGGGTTTTTAGGGTATGTAGACTGGCTTAAAAATGATCAAAAGAGGCTAGCGTAAAGCTTATATAGGGTATATCATGAAAATTTTGGGTTTTCTTACTCACCCTCATACGCCCAACGTACTCCTCGTATGCCTAGCGTACGAGGCCTCACACTCCTACTCCACCCTTCGCAGTACGCTAAGCGTACTAACCTCTGCAACAATACACCCAATGTAATCCTTAAGTACGCCTGCGTACTAGGGTTCCCTCTAAATCCCTAAAAACTCTGAATACCATAACTTATTTATCTTTAGTCCCTTTCCAACGAACTTTATATCCACAAAAAAGGTGACGAGAAGCCCTATACTTTTATCATCCCATACCAACCCTAATAAAAATCTAATTTCCATAAAGCCCGAACGGACGCTTTACCGAAATCCCTTAGGCTCTAAAACACAAACCGAATACCCAAATTACCTTGATTACATCACTCACACCTAAATAGGTCTAGATCTCACCTTTCCAAAGGCCCTAAGCCGTATGATGATTGATCTTTGTCTCACAACCTCAAATTAGGAATCGATTCGGAAGAAGGCGTTATAATACTAAGGACAGTTCAGATAAAAGAAGTAGAAATCAAGAGAGAGAGAAAGAGAGATTTGGATTTGTGTATGGAATGAATGAACATTGAGTTGCTATTTATAAGTTGAAACCTCGGGATGCATGCTGCGCACGGGCCATGCACGTCATACACATGGTTGATGTGGCTCCTCAGGTGTGTTGACACGTGTTCGAGTCTGTGTGGGGTGATGTGGTAGACTTCTAGAAGGTCATGCACGTGACGCATACACGTGTCAAATTTCAATATTGCAAAATTATGTAACCTCTTCATATGAACTATGTTTTTGACATTCTTTATATCCACACGTAGCTATCGACCACATCTACAACTTTCATTTAGACTCCGCTGGTCAATTTTGACTTTATTTATTTCACACATGCTTAGACTATTAAAGTCCATATAGTATGAATAACTTTGTCATCTGACTTCTGTTTTCGACTATCTTTATATGGTTGGAATCCTATTAACGAGATCTTCAACATTCATTTAGATTGTTTTGGCTAAAAATCGACCGACCTAAAATTCGATTTATGAGCTGTCTACTGTTACACTAAATATTTGAAAAATCATAATTTCCTCTAATGAAGTCATATTTGAACATTCTCTATATGCGCGCTCTCGGCTTGATGACTACTATGGCTTTTGTTTAGATTACTAATGCTACAAGGCAACTTAACAAAAATTTACTTTTTACGATGCGTGTTGCTGTATCGGGTCGAATCGCAAAACTTCAACGGATTATAACTTCTTCCTTATAAGTCCGATTTAGTTGTTCCTTATATCCCCGGAATCCTTATCACGAGTACTTCAACTTTCATCAAATATATTTGTCCTAATTATTATTCTATTTAGACGTGTAATTTATTCTTATTTTATTATATTGCTATAAGCACATATATTACAAGTAATTACATATAGAACCATAATACTCCAATAATCTTTTTTATTATATCAAATAGATTACAATTGTTAACTCTAACTATTACATCATCTTATAATTGCCTAACGGAAAACACAGGCATTACAATATTTTACCAAATCAATTTCAATACTACATATTTCTTTAGATTTATCCCATACCCTTATATATCAAGAAAAATAAAATCTTAACAATTACATATGATCATCTAATTCCATCCATTCAACTATATACGATGTTAATATGTATTACAACAATGGTTAAACTCATGCTAATGGTTAATCAAACTTAAGATGTTCACTCTATGCCGCTATGCGTATATACATAACTCACTACATCTACTGTTATATTTAAAAAAAAACATTTATATCTATATTATTTTTGCATTTGAAAGCACCGGTTTTGGTTCTGATATCAAATGTAAAAATATAACCCTTTCCATTGGGAATTGAGAAATAGGAAACCGTTATAACGATGGAAAAACTGCATTTTTATAGAATCCAAGTTAGCATTAAGGAAAAACATATGGTCGCCCGTAGGGTTATGAGCTGCTATAGAGGAGAGATAATCAGAGCATTTCCTGATGAACTCCCAAAAACATCTAAAGTAGAAATACGAGACGATGATTCGTATCTAATAATCCTTATATATGAGTTGTTCTTTGACGACGAAGCCCCAATATGAAAATGAGAAGTTCACAGAGATGAAGCGGGAATAGTAACAGCAATAACATCATTAAGGAAGAGAGTTTCAAGTTTTGCACTTGCAAAAGCACTCAATACCGTTATTGTTGAGCAACAAACTCATATTTTTTTGATAAAAAAAGAGCTATGCAGATTTAACACAAAAAAGAGACACATGTGGGAAAATTAGAGAATAACGAGAAATAGAATGATTCGTGAACAATGTTGAAACATTAAAAAAATCTTAATGAAACTATTAAAAGTTTTGTCAAACCACCCCTAAAATATGTTAGACTTTGAGCACGTTTATCCTATTTATAAACAAAATATTGTTATATACGTGTAATAATTGTAATTATGGATTCACAATTTGAAAAACCTTGTTATAATATTTTGATTGATACATGTCGTAATGATTCATACATAACAAACAACTCTGTTGTTTCAAACCATAACACATCCATAATTTACATCATAATAAAGTCTTTGGGTTCAAGGCCTAACATACTCATAATTTACATAGGAAATGTGAAATGAGCAACAAATTAAAGTTTACTATTTAATTTTATCAAAAGGTTTTTCCGTATCTTAAATGTTCAAAATATGTTGGTTGAGAGTTGGAGTCTTGTGCTCGACAAAAAAGTATAGATTTAGAAATTATAACTTTATAAGTATAATTAATTAATTATATAGGTATTTACGGTTAAAAAAAAAAAAAAGAATGAAATTCCATTGTTACTAGTCACCCCCTTTACATTATTGGAATATTCTCCTATAGCCCACCAATCCCCTCACATACAATCTTCCTTCAACTGTGTGTATATGAGAGAGATATCAGGGTCACAAATGCGCGTGTTCCATAAGCCATATACATTTTCTTCTTCGCCCTAAACACGTTCTTCACGAACCCTAATTAGATCTTCTTTTTCTTCACAAAACCCTCAATTTCACACACCATTTAACACAATTCACGCTTATTTAGATCTGAGCAAAGAAAGAGGACCTATAATTTCAGCTGCCCCTATGAAAAGATCATCATATCTTTCTTGAAATTTCTCTTCACATTGCATGATTACGTACTGTTTCCTCCAACTTCCCAGGATTTCATCCATAGTTTAGCCGATCTGATCACCAATTCTACCATTACTGTCGTAGTGCATCACTACTCGTAGATTCCCTAGCTTATTTAGCTGTATCACTCCTTAATTATGTTAGATCTGGAATGAGCTAGCAAATTTGCCTTTTTATTATAGCAATCATCATATAGATAAGGATAGGTAGGTAGTTTTTGGTTACAATATATATATCAAGGAAATAATACACTATTATTAATGTATATGGCAATGCCATCGGGGAACGTGATAACTCCAGATAAAATGCAGTTTCCAACCGGCGGTGCGGTTGGGCCTGCCGCCGGCGGTGGGGTTGGGTGGTATCCAGACGAAAGAGATAGTTTCATTTCGTGGATGAGAGGGGAATTTGCTGCTGCCAATGCGATTATTGATTCCTTGTGTCACCATTTGAAGAGTGTTGGTGAACCAGGGGAGTACGATGGGGTTATAGGATCTATACAGCAGCGGAGGTGTAACTGGAACCCTGTTCTTCATATGCAGCAATACTTTTCGGTGGCTGAGGTGTTTAACGCATTGCAACAGGTGACATGGAAGCGGCAGCAGCAACAGCAACTGCAACATCGTGGTGGTGGGTTTTATGATCCGGTGAAGGTTGTGGGACAGGGAAAGGATTATAAGAGATCTGGTGGTGTTGGGTCTAGGCAAAACAGGGTTGAAATTGGTGTGAAAGATACTCAGAGTTCTACTGTAGAATTCAATACTCCTGGAAATGTTGCAAATGGGTCTGGGAATTTGATGGGGATTGAAGTTCCTAAATCAGATCACAAAGATGCTGCACTTGCAAAGTATAGCGAAGGTAAGAGATGAGTTGGATTACAGATTTACAGTTCCTACCAATTTTTTATTGATGTTTCTATATCCAAAAAGTGTCTCTTCTTCTACCCCATTTCTTCTTTTAATATTCATTTATGATATATCTAGTCTTATTCTTCATAGAATATTGGTTTGTGGACCAAAGCAATAGAATTTGAGCGAGACACACATATTTGAGTACAGCTTCATGTTCTTGGAAGCTTTTTGAATAAGTTTATTAAATATTTATGTTATATAGCGCTCTTTTTCAGCTACATATACGATCTCTGTATTTCTAAAAACATCTTGAACTATAATGATTCCACAAAAGTAGTTACTGTTTTGAATATAGTGGTTCCCATATGCATATTTATGACATAACCAAGAAATTAAGCAACATGAGTTACTTCTTGAAAAAAAACAGATTTTTCATAATAGCGATATTGATAAACTTTATTTTGATGAGATTATTTAGTTACCACAAAAGTATAGCTTCTATTCTTTGTATTAAAAAATATTCAATGAGAAATCTAGATAATTAATTACTATTCCATTTTCTTGAAGCAGGTTTAAACACAAAGCCTCAAGTAGACAACAATAGTAAGAGCCTTGAATCACTATCAACATTATCTAAGAGTTTAGAATGTGAGTCAAAGGAAGTCAACGAGAATCCAAACTCAAAAGGTACTTATGAACTTTCTCTCATTTTCATTTATTTTCTTTCTGGTTTATTTATTACAACAACAACAACAACAATACCCAAATCCCAAAACCAAATATTATTGCAATTATTTCTTTTCCTTATGTCATATAATAAATGATTATATACCATAAAAATTATGTTTTAAACTTGTAACATATACACCCTTTTGTCCATTTTCCTTTGTAATGATAAACAAATGTTTTTTATTTTTTATTTTTTCTTGTGAAGGATGTACTAATGAACATTGGGAGAAACCAAATATTATTGCAAAAACTTTTATTGGCTCTGAGATACTTGATGGCAAAACGGTAATATTCTGTTTTCTTCTATTTGTTATAAAAAAAAGGGAATTATTTTTTAAGTTTTTATTCAATGGGTGTTTATGTGTAGGTTAATGTGGTTGAAGGAATGAAATTATATGAAGATTTATTCGATGATTCTGGAGTTAAAAAAATGGTTAGTTTAGTAAATGATCTAAGAGCTGCAGGAAGAAGGGGACAATTTCAAGGCAAGATGATCATAATATTTAAAAATGACAAATTTGCCCTTTTTATAAACTTCGATTTTAATAATTGTTGGAGATTTTTTATAAACAGGAAATACATTTGTTATCTCAAAAAGACCAATGAAAGGTCATGGAAGAGAGACAATTCAATTCGGTTTTCCCATTGTTGATGAAGAAACCATCACAGGAACCTCAAAGGGCAAGTTCATGTTTATAACAAAAAAAAATTTCATATAAAAAAAATGTGTTTTTTTATTCGACTAAAAATAACATTAAATCTTTTTTCAGATCGAAAAATCGAACCGATTCCAAGTTTATTTCAAGATTTCATTGAACGATTAATGGCAATGCAAATTCTCACAGTGAAACCAGACTCCTGCATTATTGATATCTACAACGAGGTTCATAAATAGTAACTTTTGGATCAAGTTTGTTTAAAATATTACAAAAATAGTCCCTGTGGTTTCTGATTTTTACCAAGTTTAGTGCAAAGTTGAAACCTTTTTCAGTTTTGGTCCTTATTTTGGTCACTGGAAGCTTGAAATGAGGACCAAAATGGGAAAAGGTTTAAAATTTGGAGTGAATATGATTAAAATGAGAAAGCATAGGGACCATTTTTGTAATTTGGGATATATTTATACCTTATTTAGTCCAAAGTTGAAACCTTTTTCAGTTTTGGTCCTTATTTTATTGATTTTGGTCAGTGGAAGCTTGAAATGAGGACCAAAATGGGAAAAGGTTACAAATTTGGAGTGAATATGGTTAAAATGAGAAAGCATAAGGACCATTTTTGTAATTTGGGATATTCTTTATACCTTACTTAGTCCAAAGTTGAAACCTTTTTCAGTTTTGGTCCTTATCTTATTGATTTTGGCCACTGGAAGCGTGAAATGAGGACCAAAATGGGAAAAGGTTTAAAATTTGGAGTGAATATGATTAAAATGAGAAAGCATAGGGACCATTTTTGTAATTTGGGATATTATTTATACCTTATTTAGTCCAAAGTTGAAACCTTTTTCAGTTTTGGTCCTTATTTTATCGATTCTGGTCAGTGGAAGCTTGAAATGAGGATCAAAATGAGAAAAGGTTACAAATTTGGAGTGAATATGATTAAAATGAGAAAGCATAAGGACCATTTTTGTAATTTGGGATATTCTTTATACCTTACTTAGTCCAAAGTTGAAACCTTTTTCAGTTTTGGTCCTTATCTTATCGATTTTGGTCACTGGAAGCTTGAAATGAGGACCAAAATGGGAAAAGGTTACAAATTTGGAGTGAATATGATTAAAATGAGAAAGCATAGGGACCATTTTTATAAATTGGGATATTATTTAATACCCTAGTAAGTTAGTCCAAAGTTAAAACCTTTTTCAGTTTTGGTCCTTATCTTATCGATTTTGGCCACTGGAAGCTTGAAATGAGGAGCAAAATGGGAAAAGGTTTAAAAGTTGGAGTGAATATGGTTAAAATGAGAAAGCATAGGGACCATTTTGGTAAATTGGGATATTTTTACTTTTTGTTATAGGGTGATCATTCGCAGCCTCATATGTGGCCACAATGGTATGGAAAGCCTGTATGTGTTTTGCTGTTGACAGAATGTGAGATGATTTTTGGAAGACTGATTGGAACAGATCATCATGGTGATTACAGAGGCTCCATTAAGCTCTCTCTTGCTCCTGGGTAAAAATTACGATTTCGTCCCTGTGCTAGCTAAGTAAACATTGTGAGAGGGTTGAGGGCAAAATGGTCATTTTTTTTTTTTTTTACATATATGTTGCAAAATGTTTTGTTTTTGCAGATCAATGCTTGTAATGGAAGGAAAATCTGCAGATTATGCTAAGCATGCAATACCCTCCATCCGAAAACAAAGAATACTTGTAACTTTGACCAAGTCAACACCAAAGCAGTGGGCCCCTCCCCCCCAAAAGCACCATGTCCAGGTGGCAACAACACCGCCACTCCCTCTCCCTGTCCCTGTCCCTGTCTCTGTCCGTCCAAATGGCATCCACCCCATTTTTGTTGCTCCTGCGATGGCTTTTCCGGCACCACCACCACCACCACCCATGGCTCCATCTGCCACCACTGCAGGATGGGCGGCAGTGGCAGCGGCACCTCCTTTGAGACAGGTGGCTCCACCACGGTTACCGGTGCCGGGCACCGGAGTGTTCCTTCCTCCGGGAAAACATGATGATGAGAACAACAATAACTCCACGTCACCAAAAGAGAAAGTGGATGAAAATCATGGAAAGACAGAAACATAATGATTTATGATGTAACCAAAGTTTAGAGAGAGAGAGAGAGAGAGAGAGAGAGAGAGAGAGAGAGAGAGAGAGAGAGAGGAATTCCTCGTTAGGCCGAAAAGTACACAAACATGAACACGAACATGAACACCAACTCTTGATTTAGCTCAATTTACACGGAGTTGTTTTAGTTGTTAATTGTTATGCTTTTGTTTCAAGATTTGTATCTTTTTTATTGCTCATGATGAATGTTAGTTTAATCTTTACTTCATATCCCATGTGCCTTGACGTATGGAAGATGTCCTCTTTCTCTTTATATATAGGATTTATCTTTGAAATTTCTTTTCGTTATCAAATCATACATGCAAGCATATCAAAAGGAGACAAATTTAGAGTGATTTGTCCATGAATATAAGTTTACAATCCAAGATCAATTCATCTATATCATCACGTCATAACTCATAACATCAACCCAACTTCTCAAGACCCTCAAACTTGGAATCCTAATTCAAAGATTTAAGTGAGATAGAGATGGAGATGCTTTAGGTTTAATTATTGCAATTTAATAATCAAAGTGTTAATTTTACCTTTAAGAGATGTATGTATTATACTATATGTGTGAAAATCGAACCTAGCAATGCTCCCAACACTTTTTTGGAAAAAATTATGTCTAAAATATTCTTGTAACTTATTAAATCCTGACCGTTCTAGAAAGTAAAAATGAAAATAAAAACTTATTAAATCCCAAAGTCAAACTTCAATCAACACTCTGCATAGTGGTTCCACATTAGTCTAGGGTTAATTTCGAAATGGTTTGATCTTTTTGGGACCACTCTCAGAACGGTCCAGTGGACCTGGAAGGTCTTGAGTCAATCTCCTTTAGTCTCTTTTTGGTTCGGTTTCGTAGTCTGTATGCAACTTGTTAGGTCAATTTCGAGATTTTTTCTATTAGGATTTGATATTTTTCATCTTTTTATTTTTTCGTTTTAGGTTTTGAGTTTTTTGTTAGAAAATATGTGATTAACACCAAATGATACATTAAAATTTACTAAAAATGATACACTTAAATTTAATAAACGAAGAAGGGAAAAATTGGGTAATGCGTGATTGAAAAATATGTAATTAACACAAAAATGATATTTATATAAACTTCAATTGTCGGTCCTTTTAGACCATTTGTGGAACAGTTCAGACTTTTATTAGGACCGGTTTCGAAACGGTCTGTTTTTTTTTTAAAGAGTAAATTACACGAATGGTCCTTATGGTTTAGGGTAATTTGCATGTTTGGTTCCTAACTTATTTTTTTAACTCGGAAGGTCCCTATTGTTTGTTTTTGTTACACGTTTGGTCCCTATCTTACCTAAAAAGACTATTTTGCCCATGATTTTTTAAATTATTTAAATAAACACACTCCCAACCCCACTCCCCTGACTTTACCCTATCTATCTCATTATTTTTCTCTGTTCAAATAATAGTCTTTTTAGGTAAAACAGGGATCAAACGCGTAACAAAAACAAATAGAAGGGACCAAACGCGTAATAAAAACAAACAGTATGGACCTTCCGAGTTAAAAAAGTAAGTTAGGGATCAAACATGTAAATTACTCCAAACCATAAGGACCATTCGTGTAATTTACTCTTTTTTAAATTGATCCAAACAATCTTAAACTGATCTTGTTTTAAATAGGTTCGGTCTCAGTTTTTTTTCAGGATCACTTTTTTTGTTGATATCTACACTTTGGTCACACATGTTTTTTTTTTTTTTTTTTTTTTTTTTTTTTTTTTTAATTTTTTTATTTTATGGGCTACTCGAGCTACCTGGATTGTAGAAAAACCCTATGTTTGGGCCATTTATCATATGCTATGGTCCCATCTATCTAAACTAAAGTTATAGTTGTTCAACATATAAAAACTTAAACAAACTCCAACGTTCTATTCATTATGCCATTGGAATATTTTCTCATTGAAAACTTTGCAATAAGATTAAAAAATTTCCACTAGTTCGCAAGTTTATATTATTATTTTTATGGGATGGGATATTGTCATAAATATCTTTAAGTTTATTCAATTTTGTCTAAGACTGAATATTGTTATAAAAGCCTTCTACGTTTATTGATTTTTGTCTAAGTCTCATTTTATATGTATTAACGCCTGAAGTTTTACAAAGTTTTGTACATTTATGTTAATTAGAAACGTTGATGTGATGATAGTCTGTGTGTTCCTTTCAGGTGACAAGGGATGATTTTTTTTTTTGCTGACATGGTAAGCCACGTCAGCATGTTCATCTGATTAAAAATAACAACGTTTAGAGGGAGAACGAGGAGTCGACATGTATTAAACCCATGACCACTTGCTAAGAAAGCAACCACTTTATCACTAAGCCAAAAAGATTTTCATGTGTATGATGTTTAATACTAATATATATTATGTATAATACCTAAATACTTTAAATATTATTATTATTATTATTATTATTATTATTATTATTAAGACTTTATGAGTTAAACAAAAAAGTTTGTTTTTTTTTGGAAAAAAGATGGGTTTTTACTTTGATAAAGAGAGATAAATTCAAATCGCTCAACACTTATGCCAACTCAACAAAAATATTTCAACTTATCTGTTCACTTGAAAAAGTTGATTACCTTAAGGTGAGATTTGAACAAAATATATAGTTTGTTGGTATTTTTTATATAAAAACTTTATTTGAATGGTGTTTTTTGATCAATCCAAACTCCAATGCTAGTTTTGGAGCGATTTTGAAACATAGTTACCTTTATAAGTCATTTTTTCTTTTTTGAAATAAAAAAATGTAGGTTTATATAGAAAAAAAAAATCATAATATGTAAGGTATTTTAAAATAACAGCCCTTTTATATACATGAAACATATGATAAGCATTGCTAAACATATTAAAACCTAGGTTTCTAAATATTTATTATGGTTTTTCTAAAGATTACCACTTTCAATTTCATATATTGAAGAATACAACAAAAAAATTTAGTAAACAAATATTTGCCTCCCATTTTCAAATATTATAACGTTTTATCCAACTTACAAGTTTTGAAAATAAAATATTTTAAACATTAGGTATACTTTTTATGTTACATATATCATATTCAAAGACAACCTGTTAGGTGGACTATATATTAAGTATCCCACATAACATAATGCATTAGATCCATTATACTTATTATAGAAGACAAAGACATGTCACCTTACATACACAATAAATAATTGCATACATAAAGCATAAATTACTAAGTTGTTCATTTGATCATACACTAGATTACTATTGGTGTGCATGTGTACATAATCTCACTATTTTACGAATCCTTGTTTGTGTACTTAGAGGTACTCCACTCATGTAGGATTTCACCAAACACATCATAGAAAGCCACACCGATTTCATCTTCAGTAATTCGCAGTGTCATGAAACCCTGTCCATCATAATAGAACTTCAACTCGTTAGGGTTCCATTGATTGATATCACCTCGCCATGCCTTTGATCCACCTCCACTTGTTAGAAATTGAAGTTCACTACACATAGTAATAAACATCAGTTTTACGTATTTTATGAAATCTTGAAAAAGGAAAAAAAAAAAAAATAACACGACAATTACCTGTTTGGATTGCTAATTTGTTGTAAGCAATGATCATGCCCGTTTATGTAAAGATCTACTTCCTTTTCCTTCATAAGATTTGGACATAACCAAGAATCAATTAAAACTATACTATTATCAATGGTTTGTAACATCTATCATAGTTGTAAAAGTTCTATGATTATATAGTTTTGGGTTAAAAACTCAACTTTGACATGAATATGTATACTTTTAAGTTAATTTGTAGTTGTTTTTATAAAAAATTTGCTTTGTAACATGTAACAAAATATGTACCTCAAGGATGGGCAAAAGTTGATCCACGAGTTCTTGGGTGTTTCCATGATGACCAGCACTGAAAATTGTATGATGACCAATCACAATTCTCCACGTGGCACTTGATTCTTCGAGTGCCGTTTCTAGATCCTATATATTCAACAAAAGTGAAATGAAATTTACTGTTTATTTAATTAAAGTTTATGAATTAGTACATCTTTTTAAATATTGACATATACTAAATATGGAAATAAACTTCTGAATATTTATGATAAAGATCGATGTAATCTTTGTACCTTTAAAACATTTGATAGATATTCTTCTCGAGGAAGAATACCTCTCCAATCATAATCATGATCTTCTTCTGTAAAATATTTATCTTCAAATGGTGTTGTATCCACGAAGAAAAATTCCACAATCTCTGAATAAAAAACAAAATTAGACATTGACATAGATATAATCATGTAAACAAAATGTCTCTATAAGAATTTAAACACGTACTTGATTTTGAAGCATTATTATATATCATTTTCATAAATTAAATAAGAAAAGAGTAGTTACATAAAAAAAATCCTATATTTTGTTTTTTTTTTCCGGATTAAATTTCAATTTTTTTTATTAGAAAACTTGATATTTTCCCCCTTTTTCTATTGGCCCTTACATTTTCTATTGGATTACCTAAACTTTTTTTTTTTTAATTAAAAAACATTGACAAATTTTGTGTAAAAGTGAAAGATTGTTAACAAACCTATTGAAATAGTAAAACAAAAATAAAATATAGACTTTGTATACATATAAAAAAGTAAAATAAAATACCTGAATTGACGATAAAGGACCTAAGACAAAGCCATTTACTATCCCTTTGTCTAAGAGTAGGGCTCAATTGTGCAAATACATTGCCCCGATAGTCATGATTCCCCAACACTACAAAATAAAAAATAAAACCATTATATATTTATATTATACAATAATTTTATCCTTTTACTATTTTCTCTATTTAATATCATAGCAAACAAAATTACCTGAATACCATTGTTTTTGTAAGCTCTTTGCTGTATATATTTCAGTAAATGACTCAACAAACAAAGGATCTTGATCATCTGTTAATCCATCATCGTAAAAGTTGTCACCGGTTGATATGATGAAGTCCA